AACAAGACTGTTGTTGTTAAGGTGAGCGGCAAAGACCCGGGCTATACGGCCACCAGTACTTGTCTGGTTCAGGCCGGCATCACTTTGATCAAGGAGTTCAACAAATTGCCCGATAAGTAAGCATTTGGTTAATCGGTTCGCGTTTTTAATTTAGTAATTCAAATATGTATTGTGTATTTCAGGGGCGGTGTCTTTACACCGGGAGCTCTGTTTGATGGCACCGGTATTTTTGAGCGCCTTAAGGCTCACGAACTTTTCTTTGAAGTGGTCAACCAGTAATGGGACTGTTGTTTGGTTTCCCTGAGATTTGAATTCATACTGTTGTAATTTATTGAATACTTTTGAAATTACCTTTATACATTATTATGGATTACAAACCAATAATTATTAAATTTATAATCCGATTATTTGTTTAAATGTACCCAAAAATGTTGTAATTTTATTTTATTTTGTTTATTTTTCTATTTTATAAACTATTCAAAATTTTGCATTCAAATAATCCACTCGTTTTATACCAATAACAAGACTGTTGTTGTTAAGGTGAGCGGCAAAGACCCGGGCTATACGGCCACCAGTACTTGTCTGGTTCAGGCCGGCATCACTTTGATCAAGGAGTTCAACAAATTGCCCGATAAGTAAGCATTTGTTTTGCGATAATTGGTTTGTGTTTTTAATTTAGTAATTCAAATATGTATTGTGTATTTCAGGGGCGGTGTCTTTACACCGGGAGCTCTGTTTGATGGTACCGGTATTTTTGAGCGCCTTAAGGCTCACGAAGTTTTCTTTGAAGTGGTCAACCAGTAATGGGACTGTTGTTTGGTTTCCCTGAGATTTTAATTCATACTGTTGTAATTTATTGAATACTTTTGAAATTACCTTTTATACATTATTATGGATTACAAACCAATAATTATTATATTTATAATCCGATTATTTGTTTAAATGTACCCAAAAATGTTGTAATTTTATTTTATTTTGTTTATTTTTCTATTTTATAAACTATTCAAAATTTTGCATTCAAATAATCCACTCGTTTTATACCAAGCCTGTACTGTACTGTACTTGGTTATTTGATTTTAATAAATAATTGTTTTTATGTATTCTTATTACGGTACTGTACTATCATTTTAGTCTTACCTACAGAATATTCTAGCTATATTTTTATTGTTAAAATGTTTGCATACATTAACTATCAATTTCTTAGCAAATTTGAATTATTTCCCAGACATCGAAATGACATTTCTATAGTTTTAATGTTAAATAATTTTAAAGTTAGAAAATGTACCGGTATAAAATTTCCGATTATTGCATTCAATGCTATAATACTGAAAGTGTCACGAATATACATGTAAGGCATAACTTCAGTAATCCATTCGCACACAAATAGTTGTAGAAACCATTGCATTGCAAACTGTGTTAAGTCTGTGCACTTGTGTCACAAGATTTATGGTTTGTTTATTACCACAAAACTACAGACTATTATCGTTAATAGCGTTCATAAATAGCTCTTTAATTGTGGATCAATTGAATTGAATGGACAGACAATCACAAGAGTTTGTGCCATAAGTGATGGGGAAAGTGAAGACCTGTTCCTTCAATGGGTGTCCATCCAGTAATGATAACAAGAGTATATCATTCTTCAGATACCCTAACAAATCACGCCAGAGGTATGTCCAGTGATCATACAATCAGTTAATCCATTTGTCCAATCATTTATCATTAACTCACTTGAGATCCCGGTGCTCTATACCGAGGCCCACATACGTGCCAAATGTGATTAGTGTTGGTCAAGTGAATGACCAAGGTCTCATGTGTGTGGCACAGGTCCCAAATGTACAGTACCGGGGCTTTCCCTCCCTGTCCTCCCGATTGCATACAAACCAAACCAATGATTCATTAATGGATGGACTGATTGTGAGCTATATATGGGACGGTTGGCCATCAGTTGTCTGATCACTAAATGTCTGTACGAATAGATGCGAGCAATGGGTCCGCGCCTCCAATAATGCACTCATTTATGACAACTTCTACACCAAAGGACACAAGATATCAGACAACGAGACGGTCTGTGAACTCCATTTCCACAGCCAAGACATCACTGTCTACTCGTCCCGAAAGTTGTTGTCCGCCAACGCTGTCCCGCATTCAGGGCTGGTGTCGGGCGCCGACCCCTCACTCATCACTACTTACCCCACGAAGACTTTCCCCAATCATAGGCCCAATAGTTTTGTTCAGAAAACTATTAGAAAATATAACAAATCTCTTACGAAACCCAAGACTTATAATAAGAAAGCGATCGCAACACAAATGTCTCATAAGAANTCTGTGTGTTTAATTTAAGTATTTAAAATTATTGAGTGACAATTTGGTTAGTTAGAATAATGCCTTGCTATAATATTGCATGTATAATTCACTTTACCGATATACTGTATGTTATAAAAACATTTATTTTAATTGTAATTGATTTGCATTATAATTGAAAATTTTATTTATTAAACAAGTCATTTAAAAAATTGCCGGTATTTTGTCATCAAATTAACTGTAAAACGTATGTAGTGACTAAAACTAAGTGTCTAATTTCCTTTAATTAACCATGGTGATGCACTATAATAGTATAAATGTTTTAAATGCACTGTATGTTCATCCAAATGACAACTTTCCCCAAATAAGACTTGTTTTATAATTTGTGTTCAATTTGTGCAATCGTTTGAAACGATTTTATAATAGAGTTACAAACAAAACACTTATTATTTAGTTACTACAGTATAACAGTAAGTTAGTTAAAAGTTTTTACATGAGTTAACTAACCTTGATGTTGCTATTAATAATAGTCATAATGAATATTTATGTGTCATTTGCACTTTAATGTATTCAAAAAAGAGTACAAACTTCAAAACTATTAGTTTAGTTTCAATTGTAATGCAATTAGTTAACCAAATAATATAAATATAATTATTTTATAATAGATTTGATTAAAAGTGTGAATCTCTTATTTATTTTATTATATATTATAATAAGTCGTGTAAACTATTTACTAAAATAACTATTAGTAGTGTATTTAATATGGGAAAATGATTTTAGTTATATTTTTAACACTGAAACCATTTATTTTGAATTGAAATTGAATTATAAGTCGTCTAATCTTTTGACTAAATTATCAGTTGAGATATTGGGTGAACCTTTCCGTTAAAAAATACATCTAATGGTCAATACTTTTCTATACTACTATAAAGTACTCAATTAAATTACTGTATAATTATTTGAATACATGTATCCTTCTAGAAATGATTGAAGTTTTATATTGAAAATTTCAATTTCAAATGCATTTTAGTTCATTCATTTTGTTACCTGTTTGAACATCTTTGTTAAACCATTAACTGTCAAATAATAGCATTTCTCCTCTTTTAAAGTCTAAATCAATTAGTCGTAAGAGATGTCTGGGAATGAGTCGCGAGAGTTTGATGTCGTGGTCTTCGGGGCGACAGGTTTTACGGGTCAGTTCGTTGTAGAAGAGTTGGCCCGATCGGCGACACAAGAGTCCATCAAATGGGCGATCAGTGGCCGAAGCGCACCAAAGTTAGCTCAAGTGTTGTCCGTCGCCACCAAAGAGACCGGTATTGACGTCACAAACATACCCACCATTGAAGCCGATGTCCAGTCAGAGGAGTCGTTGCGGGCGATGACGGCTCGCACTCGACTCGTGTTGAATACTGTGGGTCCGTATCGCTTCTTCGGGGAACAGATGGTGAAGGCGTGCGTAGAGACAGCCACCAGTCATCTGGACATTAGTGGTGAACCCGATTATATGGAGAGAATGCAATTGACGTACAATAAAGCCGCGCGAGATAAGGGTATATACATCGCCAGTGCCTGCGGTTGGGACAGTATTCCCGTCGATTTGGGCATTCAGTTCCTGAAGAAGAACTTCAATGGAGAAGTGAATGCCGTCGAGAGCTACATGTCTATCAAAACTGGGCCTCAGGTATGTGTGACTCTTGTATTGAATTGCTCGCAATTGTGTGCATTTAATGTGATATGTTGTGGTGGTATAGGGCGCCCGAACCAACTTCGGCACCTGGCAGTCGGCTATCCATGGATTCGCCGCACAATCGCAACTGAAACCACTTCGACGCCGACTATACAGTGAAGTGTTTACTAAACCGCGTCCGCAATCCAAGTTTAGATTGAGTCGAAAGTAATTTTCTTTTAAATACTACTCAATATTCATGAATTGTAATCAAATGTGTGACTTTACAGAACACTACCGTTCCGTTCGGAGTACGCGAGGGGTTGGTGTCTGCCATTCCCGGGCAGTGACCGGTCTGTGGTTCAGCGCACACAACAGTACCGATACGAGACACTCAATGAAAGGCCCACACAAATGGAGGCCTACTTTACTGTCCCTAACTTCTTAACACTGATGGGTCTGCTGTTCGTGGGCGCCATATTCGGGGTGTTTGCGTCTTTCCGTTGGGGGCGTTCCCTTCTGGAGGCCTATCCATCCTTCTTCTCATTCGGTGCCTTCAGTCGAGTCGGCCCAACGCGGGAACAGTTGAGAGACACGTCCTTCCGAACCATTATTGTGGGTAAGGGTTGGGCCGATAAGATGGCCGAACCCACTGATGAGCCCCAGGAGGCGCCCAACAAGACTGTTGTTGTTAAGGTGAGCGGCAAAGACCCGGGCTATACGGCCACCAGTACTTGTCTGGTTCAGGCCGGCATCACTTTGATCAAGGAGTTCAACAAATTGCCCGATAAGTAAGCATTTGTTTTGCGATAATTGGTTTGTGTTTTTAATTTAGTAATTCAAATATGTATTGTGTATTTCAGGGGCGGTGTCTTTACACCGGGAGCTCTATTTGATGGCACCGGTATTTTTGAGCGCCTTAAGGCTCACGAAGTTTTCTTTGAAGTGGTCAACCAGTAATGGGACTGTTGTTTGGTTTCCCTGAGATTTGAATTCATACTGTTGTAATTTATTGAATACTTTTGAAATTACCTTT